AAGGTGCTTTTCGAGAGGCAACTGGTCTTTCTTGGTTTTTTTTCTTGAAAACATTTCACTTCTCATCCAAGAAGCTTCTTCACTGTTGTAACATCAAACAGTGACATTCGCTGCACAAGGCAGTCAGTAAGTGAGGACTACTTGCAATGGATCTGGACTGCTACAATCTTGAGGACCAGTAGATGGCAGCCAAGAAGTAGGCTTTCTCTTATCTCTTTGCTATCATCAGGCATGCTGCAGCCCCAGATCTGTCCTTCTCCTCTTACAATTTCTAGTCCCAAAAAACAGAAAATAAAAATCACAGCTTCTGGTTGCAGTTTTCTCCTCATTCTGAATTTTAATCAAAACACTTCTCTGTCTGCCACCCACAACATTTTTTTTTCTCATCTCTATCTCTCAAATGCCTGCTTGTCTGTCTAGACTTGCTAGTGATTCCTTCTCTCTCTCTCTTTTCTATTCTGCTCCAATAGTTTCAACATCTTGTCACTTCGTACTTTTGCATAAGTCTTGTTCTGTCTGATAAGCAGCAGAAGTGCGAGTTAGCTCCAGAAATCTTTTGTAAGGCAGGTCTTTAAGCAGGGAATACTTCCTGACAGCTTGCAAAAGCAGGGAGGCTATCTTGGTTGCGCTTGTGCAAACACACCCTGGCAATGGACATCAAAAGACAAGAGGGTCAGAGGTGGGCTTCAAACATTTTAGCAAGGGGTTCTCTGCCCGCTTGCTGGGTGGGCGTGGCCATGGTGGGCGTGGCCTAGTCGGCCTCCTGCACTATGGTAGTGGCGGTGTTTTTGCCCTTCCTGGGCTCCGGAGGCTTTCCTCGAGCCTCTGGGAGGGCGAAAACAGCCTCCCCAGGCTCTGGAGGCCCTCTGGAGGCCTTCCCAAACTTCTGGTAGGCCCATTTTTCACCCTCCATGCACGCCCTACACTTACCTGCATCCAAAATGGGCTGCGTGGGGACTCCTGGGAGGGGCAGGAGGCGTGGGCAGGGACAGCCAGGAGTGGGATTTGGGGGTTCTCTGAACTTCACAGAATCTTAGCTAGAGTTTCTCCCGAATCCCTGCAAACCCCCATCAGCCCACCCCTGAAGAGGGCTCCTTGACTCATGCTTCAAGCCTCAAATTTCATTGTGGTCCTTTCCTTTTGAAACTTTATTTATTAAAGCCATGCCCCCGTTATTATTATGGATGTTTGTTTGTTTTTATGTTTAATTTTTTAGTCCCAATTGTTATATACCATATAAGGTAATAAGGAAGTGAGCTGCAGGCCTCACTCAGGTCCTCCAAATAGGTGGGAAAATACTTGAATCTCATTGGCTAAGCTGTCTGGCAGCCCTCTATAAAAGAGGACACTGCCAGACAAGCAAGTTGTTGGGTTGTACTGGTCTACTATTAAAGAGCTGTTGTTACTGAAGAACTGTATCTGTCTCTTCTATCCTTGAAGATTGAAACAGAAATGGACTTCTCCTACATGTCAATAGCAAAAGGGAGTAGCATCTCCTCCAGTCTTATGAAAATTCATCAGACAGATGCAGATGAAAACATTCAAGGATCAGTAGAGTCAGAGGTGGTATTCAGCAGCTTCTGATCAGTTCTGGAGAACCTGTAGTGGAAATTTTGAATGGTTCGGAGAACCAGTAAATACCACCTCTGACTGGCCCCGCCCTCATTTATTCTCTGCCTCCCGAGTCCCAGCTAATCGGGAAGAAATGGGGATTTTTCAGTAACCTTCCCCTGGAGTGGGGAGGGAATGGAGATTTTACAGTATCCTTCCCCTGCCAGGCCTACCAAGCCATGCCACACCCACCAAGTCACAGAACCGGTAGTAAAAAAATTTGAATCCCACCAGTGAGTAAATTTTTTATTCAGTTCTGGTATTACAGTCAGTTGAAAAGAGGAGGAGGAGGAGGAGGAGGAGGAGGAGGAGGAGGAGGAGGAGGAGAGGGGAGGAGGAGGAGGAGGAGGAGGAGGAGGAGGGAGGAAGGAGAAGAAGAAGAAGAAGAAGAAGAAGAAGAAGAAGAAGAAGAAGAAGAAGAAGAAGAAGAAGAAAGAAGAAGAAAGAGAAGAAGAAGAAGAAGAAGAAGAAGAAGAAGAAGAAGAAGAAGAAGATCAATCCATGGTTTGTTTGGATCAGTCAATAATGTGAAGGCCTTTAAAATGCCGCTTTCTTGCCAACATTACCTCATAAGCATCTACTTTCCTATAAATTAGATATACAATTCTAAACTACCTTTCAATAAGAATTGACCTATTTAGAATGAAGCAGTTCCTTGCCAAAAACGAAGTTCACAGACATCCCACAGATTAATAGATAACTGGTTTTGCCTCACTATTATTTTCTTGCTTATAGAAATCAGTCTGTATAATTTGTCTTATAATTTATATAATTTACCCAGAAGACAACACATACTTACTTTACATTTTTTACTCTTTTTAGTACATCACCATATTTTATTTATTCACATCTCCAGGTTGTTAATTAATTCTCATAAAGCATTTTTTCATTTGCTTTTCACTTGGCATTTTATAACAAGAAATCTTTGATTGCCCCAAAAGGAGTGAATTAGCACATTTTTCAGTATGCATACCCAGTAATTCCACAAATGTTAAATGTGCTCTCAAAATCTATCTCTGATATAGAATAGGATTCTCATTTCAAGTACTGATAAAGGGAATATATCATTACATACAAGCCAACCATTATTATATGAAAGGCCTACCAAATCAATCTGACCAGGAATTTCTGACCACAGAAAACTAAAACTAATTTTTATTGAAATTGGTTATAATAAAAGAATCTTGCATCCTTTTTTGTATCTGATTAAAATTACGGTTGTAATGCTCAGATATGCAAATTCCTGGACACTTTGAGTGGCTACTAAATGGAACATATCCAGAGGAGCACTTTGCTCAGGATCAGAACTGGATGCGGTATTTCAAGTGTAGCCTCACTAGTGTGATATAGAGTGCTAGTATCACTTCTCATGATTTTGATGTTATCCCTCTGTTGATGCAACCTAAGACTGCATTGGCTTTTTTGGCAGCTAAAGCACATTGCTGGATGGTACTTAAGTGGTGGTCCCGTAATACACTTAGATCCTCTCACAGTTAACTACTGTTGAACCAGCTTTCACCTATTATATACTCATGCATTTTGTTTTTCCTGCCTAAGTGTAGGATATTACTTTCCACCCCAGTGAATTGCATCTTGTTGGATAGGGCTCAGTGCTCAAGTGTGTCAAGATCCTTCTGAATTTTGAGTCTATCTTTCAAAGTGTTAGCAATTCTTCCCAGCTTGGTGTTGCCTGCAGATTTGATGAGTTCTCCTTCTATCTTCTTATCAAGTTCATTTAAGGTAATCCTCGACTTACAACCATTCATTTAGTGATCGTTGAAAGTTATAACGGTATTGAAAAAAGTGGCTTATCACCGTTTTTCACACTTATGACTAGTGCAGCAGCCCTATCAAACTTTGGATGCTTGGCAATTCATATTATGGTGGTTTCAATGTCCTGGGGTCATGTGATCCTCTTTTGTGACCTTCTGACAAGCAAAGTCAATGCGGAAGCCCGATTCACTTAACAACTGTTGCTAATTTAACTGTTGCAGTGATTCACTTAACAACAGTGGAGAGAGATTGAAAAATGGAGCAAAACTCACTTAACAATTATTTTGCTTAGCAATAGAAATGTTGGGCTGAATTGTGGCCATAAGTCAAGGATTACTTGTATGAAGATGTTGAAGAGCACTGGGCCCAAGACAGAACCTTGAGGTATCCCACTGCATACTTCTCCCCATGTAGCTGTAGTTTCATTGAGGACTACATGCTGAGTCACAAACCTGTTTCTTCAGGATATGAGAAAGATCCATGATATACAGTAGCTTAGTCTTGCTTGGGTTCAGTTTAAATCTGATCTGTCCCATCTAGATCCACACAACTTTCAGACATTGGGACAAAATGTGGACGGCATCTCTAGCCCAAGGCCATAATGTACCATTGGGTACCATAGAATTGTAAGTCATCCCAAGTCACTCAGTTGAGTTGGGTGGCTATAGAAATTAAATGAATGCATGAATGAATGAATGAATGAATGAATGAATGAATGAATGAATGAACAATCAACCATATTGATAACACCACACCCTGAAATGCTGGATGGTTTTACATAGACAAGTTTTCCTTTTTTCCTGTCTGGCCCAGCCCAGTGATTTCATTTCTTTAAATTGAGTATAGTAGACCAAGGGGCATGGTGGCCAAAACATTTTCCTCTAGGTACTACATTTACATAAAAAGAAGGATGGATGGATGTTGGGAAGGGAATGAAATCTCTGCAAGCAGACAACCAAGCTCAGAGAACACCAAGATCTCCATATTTCAATCCTGAGCTACAGAAATCTCTTTGGTTGGAATAATGGATGATCAATCAATCAGAATAGAGCTGGAAGGGATCTTAGAGGTCATCTAATCCAATTCCCTGCTCAAGCAGGAGATCCTATACCATTTCAGACAGGTGGCTGTCCAGTCTGTTCTTAAAAATTTCCAGTCATGAAACACCTACAACTTCTGAAGGCAACCTGTTCCACTGGTTTATTGTCCTCACTGTTAGGAAGCTTCTCCTTAATTTCAGGTTTCTCTCCATTGTTTCTTGTCTTCTAGTGCTTTGGAAAATAAGTTGAGCCCCTCTTCTTTGTGGCAGACCCTCAAATATTGGAATACTGCTGTCATGTCATCCATAGTCCTTCTTTTCTCTAGATTGGCCATTCTCAATTCTTGCAACCATCCTTCATATGTTTTTGTCTCCAGGGCCTTAATCATCTAAGTTGCTCTTCTTTGCTCTTTTTTCAAAGGGTTAAATTTTCCAAAGGGTTAAATTTCCAAACCGATGTTAAATTGTGTATGGGCAGGAAAGGGTTTATTCTATTTTGACTGAGGGAGGAGAAGATGAGATGTTAATGCTTTGGGCAATTTTTTTAATTAGACATTTTTTTCTTTCTGTTCTCTAGATATGACATCATGAACCTGCAACAGATAGAATCTAACCGTTATGATTATGTCCACATCGGGACATGGCACGAGGGAGTCTTGAATATTGATGATAACCGAATTCAAATGAATAAAACCGAAATGGTCCGGTCTGTATGTAGTGATCCATGTTTGAAAGGTCAAATTAAGGTAATTGTTCCTATAGAAGTACTTTTGTTGAAAAAGATGGATATAATCATAAAAGATTAAATGACACAAATAATTACTCTTAAATAATCTATGTATAACAATGTTAGATTAAGGCAAAATTCTTAATCAAAGCAAGCCTCCTTAAGAAAACCAATTCTGCATGCAGGATAAAAAATATAAATTGAGCCCATTTCTCTTAAAAAATTTCCTCTCCTGGGAATCATGCAGTCCACCTTTTGGGGAAAAGATTGGTAATGAATTCTGATTCAATATCTCATGTTCAATGGCCATATCTCATGTTCAGTGTTCAATGTTTAATATGACCCAAAAGATTTTGGACTTTAGAACCAAATACTTGGAAAGAAATTGGTAGTTTGGAAGACTATTTGAAGAATAGTTTGGAGAATTCCTCCACCCCATTGCAATAGCTGTGTATTCATTTGAAATCCTTCAAATCTGGGAGGTTTAAAAACATCCTTTTTGTTTTCAATAAAAATAATAATTCATAGATGCAAATTTGAAAGGAAAAATGTGATTCAGAACATACATCAGTGCCTTCATAGCATTGCCAGGAATAACTTAAATGAGCCACATCTTTTTCTGGGCTCCTGCTTTTGATCTCTTGTGGCTGACACTTGTTCCTGGGAAAAGACCCGTGGTTTAAAATATTCCCAATAGGTTCTATAATAACAATAGCACTTAGACTTATATACCACTTCACAGTGCTTTGCAGCCCTTTCTAAGCGGTTTACAGAGTCAGCATGTTGCCCCCAATAATCTGGGTCCTCATTTTACCAACCTTGGAAGGATGGAAGGCTGAATCAACCTTGAGCTGGTGAGAATCGAACTGCCGAACTCTGGCAGCTGGCAGTCAGCAGAATTAGCCTGCCATACTGTATTCTAACCACTACGCCACCACAGCTCTTAAGCAAACCAGGTCCTCTCACATTTTCTCATTCAAATCCAGAATATTGCCCAGCCCTAAAAAATAAGAAACATTTTACTCCAGGAGTTTGTGGACAATTTTTGTGGGATAAAATAATAATGATTAATATGCTTAACGCATTGTAATATCTAGAACGGCATTGTATATATTTATAGATCCAGATTTTGCAGTATATATGACCTCATTTTTCTTCCGTTAGATGTCCTAAACTTTACCTTAAGAAATGCAGCCTATGTGGCATTTTTAAAGCTTTTCTTCTTCTGTTTAAATCACATCACATCACCCACAGGGACTTTTAGTCCCAGAGATCTTGGACACAATTGCAGTATTCAGGTCCTTCCTTCAAGGTGTTTTCAAACACTTATTTTTGTCATGTTTTTATTCAGCAAGGTTATCTCCCCTAAAGACACTAGTAAATGAAAAATTTTGTCTCATCGCTGCCATCAAATCCTGCATTTTTAGTAGTTCTTAGATTTCTTGCTGATAGTATTTGTCTCCCTAGCTTGAAAAGTTTCTCCTGATCATCTGATGATTTTGGAAAGGGAAGGTGGCAAGGGAGGGAAGGGGTGTCTTTATTGAATGGTTAATGTGAATTTATTTACTTCAAAAATGTTATTTGGGATCTTCATGTTCTTTCTGTCCCACTTGTAGTCCTGTCTTAATGGCATTATTAGGGGCAGTGGTGCTGCCACAATTGCTCTTTTATCAAAACCTAATATAGTCAAAACTACAAATTGGGTGATAGATAGATAGATAGATAGATAGATAGATAGATAGATAGATAGATAGATGGATGGATGATAGAATACTTTATTGGCCAAGTGTGATTGGACACACAAGGGATTTGTCTTTGGTGCATATGAGATGTTCTCCTTGAAATATATAAAACTGCAGTCCAGTTTCACTATGCCTCCTATCACATCCCACTACTGAAATCCTATTTGTTTCACGAACATTATCTCTTTTGTTTTCTAACAAGTGGTTGTCTCTCTGTTTTTGAATAAAGGAATATAGTCAGAGTCGCAAAGGTGCTTTTTTCAAGAGGCAATTTTCTGCTTTTTCTTTGAAAACATTTCGCTTCTCATCCAAGACGCTTCTTCAGCTCTGACTGGATGGTGGGGAATGGAAGGATTTATACTCTTTCAGACAGCTGGTCATTTCCATCATTTTTTGAAGTGAAATGTCTTCAAAGAAAAACCAGAAAGTCCAGTTACCTCTTGAAAAAGCACCTTTGGGACAACCATAACCTGGATGACTGAGAATCTCCATAAAATATACCAGAGCCTTCTGCTTTATTAAAAAGACTTTCCATAGGTTTTTTTTTTCTGAATGAACAGACCATATCTGCCATCACAGGTGGTGCAGTGGTTAGAATGCCGTATTGCAGGCTCACTCTGTTCACTGCCAGGAGTTTGATTCTGTCCAGCTCAAGGTTGATTCAGGCTTCCATCCTTCTGAGGTCAGTAAAATGATCGTTGGACCCAGATAGTTGAGGGCAATATGCTGACTCTGTAAACTGTTTAGAGAGGGCTGTAAAGCATTATGAAGTGGTATATAAGTCTAAGTGCTATTGCTATATCATATTTTATAATATAACATTTACTAAACAACATGCTAGCTAATTATGTTATATAACTCCAATTCCACTACATAGAAACTAAAACATACACCACATACTGCCTTTCCTCTGTTCCCACATCATAGGCAGCTTTGAGCTGCAAACAAAATCTCTGTTCGAACAAAACCTCTACCTGCTGACTCCATTTGTATCTTGCTAAAAACAATTCGCTACCCACCATGCTCGTTTGGCATGAAGCATAAAAAAAACATGAGAACCAAACAATGTACAGAAAGTTAGCTTGTCAGAACAATGGTTCCATTTTACGTGGTGGAGGATGCTGATAAAAAACGGCAGTATTACAGAAGGGGAATATCTATTAGTGAAATATCTATTAGTAATACTTTATTTGCTCTTTTCTTTTTAGTCCTATGAGAAAAACAAAGGACCTGCACTATTAAATTTCAAAGAAAAAGGGTAATTTTAATGTTTTCAATAGAGACCTAAATAAACCCACCTGACCTGTGTCCCTCAATCAAAATCTTATTGTCTCTTCTTGAATTATTCTTTTATTTGAAAGGAGGGGACAAGTAAAATGGCTAAAATTGAAGATACTGACCTTGGTTTAGATAAAGATGTTGAACAGGTCTCAACTAGAGTTTCTTTGCTCCAAAAATGAACTCTAATGAGGATTCAAGTGCAAAATCTTTTTCATATTTTTAGAAACTACCTAATACCCAAGTAGTGTGCATTAATATTTCAATCAACATAGACTTTTTGGGTTACTTCTTTTACTTTTCAACTGCATTTGACCTACAAAATGGCCCTATTTTGCAATAGACAATTAGTCTCTGCAGCTCAGTCTTTACATGGACTGGATTTGCATATCATGTTAAATTAAAATATTGCTTGCTTCTGACTATATAATACATGGGTGCAATCATTATAGATGGTAGGAGGCTTGATGGCTCAGTGGTTAAAGACACTGAGCTTGTCAGCTGAAAAGCTGATAGTTGAGGTTTGAGACCCAAGGGTCGCACGATGGGGTGAGGTCCCGTTACTTGCACCAGCTCCTGCCAACCTAGCAGTTTGAAAGCATGCAAATGCAAGTAGATAAATAGGTACCATTTCAGTGGGAAGCAAACAGCATTCTGTCTGCCTTGGCATATAGTCATTCTGGCCACTGACCCACAGAAGGGTCTTCAGACAACACATTTCTCTCAGCTAAGAAATGGAGATGATTACCGCTCCTTGGATTCAGACACACAAATCTTTATTTTACCTTTATTATAGATGAGTGTTACAGACCAACTTGGCTGTCAGGAGTTTTAGGATGGGGTCCTCTCTGGCATTTTTATTTTGACTCCTTTTTCTGGTGAATCCTAGGTAACAAGGCCTGGGACAATTAGATCGAAAGCCTTCAGTCTGTTATGGAGTTACAGAACTTTCAAAGGCTCAAGCACTTGGTTTTTATTTGCAGAAGATTTATTTTGATCCAGATAAGTTGAGTTATCAATACAGGTTTTAAAATTTGCCTACTGTTATTACTTTATGAGACTGTATTCGTAATGTCATGCACTATATTGCTAAAGGGATACCGTATTCAGAAACCATACTAAAAGGTTTTCATCTAACAACAAATATCTAATTTTATTGTAGGTTATAAGGAAGGGAGAAGTGAGCTGCTGTTGGATTTGTACAGCTTGCAAGGAGAATGAATTTGTGCAAGATGAGTTCACATGCAAAGCCTGTGAGCTGGGATGGTGGCCAAATGAGGAGCTGACAGGTATGAGCAAAACATTTTACAATAACAGTCTGTCACTACCCACAAAATAATAATGTTTATTTTACTTATTTATCTTCCATTTTCCTTCTTAAATTCAATTCCAAAGCAAGATGTATAATGAATAGGCAGCAAAAGTACACTACCTGGACAGCCACAACAGTATCTGATTACACATACAAAATATATATATATATATATATATATATATATATATCAATGTCCATACAGATAGTTTTCATTTAGCAACTGCATCATTTAGCGGCCATTCACAGTTATGACAGTGATGAAAACTAATTTAGCCATCAGTCCTTCATGTTTATGATATTCATAGGTCTGTAAAGCAAAAGAAAGCTGAAGTAAAATCATAACAGTTTCACTTAGCAACTGCTTCATTTAACAACTACATTATTAGTCGCAGCAGTGATTGCTAAATGAGAGCTAACTGTATACGTACACTTCTGTATGGGGGATATACAGAAGTGTTTCCCCAAAAATAAGACCCTGTTGTATATATTTTTGAACCCTGAAATAAACGCTTGGCCTTATTGCCATGCGCTCAAAAGCCCAATTGGGCTTATTATCAGGGGATGTCTTATTTTGGGGGAAACAGGGTACACTTCAGGCATCTCTGGGCAACTGTGATCCTAAGAGGAGAAAGGGTGTACATATTCCTCTTGTTATATGTTTTTGACTCTGTTCTGCTATTTAAAGGCAATTCATGATATCTACCTTAGGTCCTTGGTCAAATGGCAGAACTCTTATAAGAATCTCAGAGGAAAGTAGGCCAAACCTCTGTTTGGACTTTCCTAGTCTGCCTTGTCCTCTAGTCCCTGTTGAACCACCATCTTCTCGCTATTTATAAAAATGGAAAACTGCAATACAATTAGTTTTGTGAATCATATCTAACATTAAAAAGTAAATTGGCAATCAATGCCATTGTTGTAGAGTAATAGGAATATAAACTTTTGCGTTTAAGTTCAATTCAAAATTTTCAAAGAAAGCATCGTGTGGAACGTATTGTAATAATTCAATGTGGATTGTGACCGGAGAGTTTTGCATTTGTTCTACTTTGCTTCCAGTTGCTATTCCCTTCTTCTCCCTCATCCCACCCCAAGAACGACACAGAAGAGATCTGCATGTTCTTCCTACCTGCTGCTCAGTCCCACTTACTCTATGGTTCAGGAAGCAATAGGTCATAGTGGTTGATAGGCTGCTACAGGATAGGCATAGGTTCCCTCAGCCATGAAACTTCACAGGATAGTTTGGGTCAGCCGCTATCTCTCCACCCAATCAGCCAGATACAAGATACAAGGTATAGGCACAAGATTCTTGTAGGAAAAAAAAATATGAACAAGAATTGCTATTCCTGCTACTATGTTCCTGGAGAAAAGATAGGAACCCAGGCAGGGGTGGGCTTCAAAAATTTTAGCAAGGGGTTCTCTACCCGGTTGCTGGGTGGGTGTGGCCATAGTGGGTGTGGCCTAGTTGGCCTCCTGCACCATGGTAGTGGGGGCATTTTTGCCCTGGGCTCTGGAGACTTTCCTCGAGCCTCTGGGAGGGTGAAAACAGCCTCCCCAGGCTCTGGAGGCCCTCTGGAGGCCCTTCCTGAACTTCTGGTAGGCCCATTTTTCACCCTCCCCAAGCTTCCGCATGTGCCCTGCACTTACCTGCGTCTAAAACAGGTCATTTGAGGACTTCTGGGAGGGGCAAGGCAGGGCCAGCCAGGAGTGGGATTTGGAGGTTCTCCAAACTGCATTGAATCTTAGCTAGAAGTTCTCCCAAACCCCTGCGAACTCCCAGCAACCCACCCCTGAACCCAGGAATGTTTTTAGCAATACCCTTACCAGGAATCTGGTATGTGAGCATACTACTGTTATTTATACCATCCTGGAAACTACAAATAATTTGAATTAATAATTTGCTTTAAACAAAGAACATCGAGCATTTGTTTTTGATAGTCAGATCATAAATAAGATTGATGTTGTACAATTGCTGCACTCCGAAACCTGAAGTTTCCGTGTATTTTTAAGAGTTTAAAATTCACAGTTAGTTTTCACCACATGTATCATTACAGATGCAGAGAAGCATTGAAATTATTGGAACATTCTGAGGGAGTAAAACTGTAGGTGACAATAACTGCTTAAACCATCCAGCTCCTATATTTCTTGGAAATTCATTTGGCTTTTTCTTCTGCTCAGCAGGCATTTATAATATATGAAGCACTCATTTTAAACTTTATATACACGGGCTTACATTATCAAACTCATGACTGTTGACCAAATAAATTAATGCCTAAACTGGGCAATCAGCATAAATAGGATGATATATCCCACTCATGTATCCTTAGACTAGTTGATCTTTTATTCCTATTTTCTCTAGAAAGTGAATGTAGGGTGTCATTTAGGTTAAACCAACAAACAAAGAAAAAAATAATAATATTATCTTGACAGTTAATGAAACTGAAGTGTTGGATTTTGGATGTCTAGATTATAAGATATGCAGACAAATAATTGTATAGATAATACTGTCATGTAGAATAAGGACTGAAATGCACAATATTTATTTAAAATATTAAAAAATCCATTTTTAATATTGCTTTTAATAGTCAGGAGTGTTGTCTAGTAATAATCAAAATGTCCAACCACTTTAAAAATTAAATGCCTCTGTTCTCTAATTGTCTTATATACTGTAAATGTCTCAGAAGCTAAATAAATATGTTGGCAGGAAAATTAATTTCTGTCTATGTGTTACTAAATAGAAACTGTAACTAACATCTATTTGGTCTGAATGCTGTCCTGGGGATGTTCGTTGGCCATGAAGTTGTAAGTATAAAGTTTAGAAATGAATAGCTTTTGAAAACTAAACTCTTCGTCCGATTGCCATGAAAAAATTAAGAAGAGTCTATTCTTTTTTATGGGGAGTAAGAGATTACAACAGAGATACACGAAAGAATTTGTGCTTGTTTTGTAGCAGGCTTTCCCTTGTGTTTCCTATTTCTTCCAAAATTTGTGGAGCAGATTTAGCAAATGCTCAGGGAGCTGGAAGGAGGAAGGATAATCTATTTTGTTGCCAGATTTTGTCCTACCAGTAGAATGACATAATTAGATGAAGCTTTTTTACTACCTTTTGTGCAAAAATCACTTGTTTTGATATGAATGCAGGATCACTTCTATTATGCAACTGTTCTTTAAGGATCCCAAAGGAGCTCTTTATTTTGCAATATTTGTCTGTTTATCCAATCATTTCTTTCTCTTTTTCTTTTTTGTATCCTGTAGGCTGCAAACCTATCCCTGTAAAGTATCTGCAGTGGAGGGACATAGAGTCCATTGTGGCTGTGGTCTTCTCTTGCCTGGGCATCCTCGTCACCATGTTTGTTACCCTTATCTTTGCACTGTACAGGGATACCCCCGTCGTGAAATCCTCTAGCCGGGAGCTGTGCTACATAATACTTGCGGGGATCTTCCTTGGTTATATATGCCCTTTCACCCTCATTGCTAAGCCCACTGTCACTTCATGCTACCTCCAGCGTCTCCTGGTGGGTCTTTCGGCTGCCATGTGCTACTCTGCCCTTGTAACAAAAACCAACCGCATTGCACGCATTCTGGCAGGGAGCAAGAAAAAAATTTGCACCCGGAAACCACGCTTCATGAGTGCTTGGGCCCAAGTAGTCATTGCCTCCATTTTGATCAGTGTACAGCTGACATTGGTGATTACACTGATCATCATGGAGCCCCCTTTCCCCATCCTTTCCTATCCCAGTATCAAGGAAGTCTTTCTGATCTGCAACACCAGCAACTTAGGTGTGGTTGCCCCAGTGGGTTACAATGGACTTCTCATCATGAGTTGCACTTACTATGCTTTCAAAACTCGCAACGTGCCGGCCAATTTCAATGAAGCCAAGTATATTGCCTTCACTATGTACACAACGTGCATCATCTGGCTTGCCTTTGTACCTATATACTTTGGGAGCAACTACAAGATCATTACAACTTGCTTTGCCGTGAGCCTGAGTGTGACAGTTGCCTTGGGGTGCATGTTCACTCCCAAGATGTATATCATCATTGCAAAGCCTGAAAGGAATGTCCGCAGTGCCTTCACCACTTCAGACGTGGTGCGTATGCATGTCGGGGATGGCAAGACACCTTGTAGGTCCAACACTTTCCTCAGCATATTCCGGAGAAAGAAGCCAGGCACTGGAAACCCAAAGTAAGTACTTTGACAATGCATCTATACTCTTATAGATGCATTAAAAATAATATTTGCATTAAAGAAGCTAAGCAAGGCAAAATCTGAAATAGGGATCTGGTCTTCCTCTTTGTTACTTTGAAACTGCAACCAGTCTAATATTCTGACATGTTCTTATCATCTCCAGTCTTATAAACCTTCCTGATTTCCTTTCTTTTTTGTTTTCTGCTCCCTAACAATGTTCACATAAAATAATCGGACAGCGTAGTGAACTATCAACAAATCTTGGAAAGGTTGTTTTTACATCTACAATAATGTTTCATTCGGTGCAAATAAGCCACACAATTATGAATTTACTAACCCTTAAATATTAGGCTTCTCACAGAGACAGCTGAAAATCTCAGCTCTCCAGATGCTCAGCCTTTATTCGGTGTGACGTACTCAATAGAAAACTCACATGCATCATGCAACAAGATTAGTTTCTTTATTGCAGACAAGAAATAAATGTTATACTGTACATAAAGAAAATTTGCTCTCTCAGGTTTTTCAATTCTAAGCCTGCTCCTGCTTCTCTGAATCAACAGATACTGGATTGCTGTCTTAGTCGCTTAGTCTTGAGAGACAATTGTCCTGAATTGACTTCATTTCTTACATTATGAGCCTTACTAATGAATTGAGATTCTATTATGCTCAGTTGTTGACTAAGACTGAATTGAACAGTCTTAATCTTCTAAGGGTCCTTTTGTCTCAATAAGCTTTTTTCATACTCCAATATATGACAGGTAAGTCACCTGGAAAGGTTCTTAAAGCCATTTCAAATTCAATATTTTTCTGACTCTTGTTCTGCTTAACAAAAATACCCATGGCGAAAGTTATGCTCACGCAAACTACCCTGCAAATCTGCCAGAGTTGTTGGAAAGTTGTGCACGGAACACCACTTTAACCAACAGATTGACAAATATTGTATTTTGGCAGTTTTCAGCTGACTGGAACTTTTCCCTAGAAATAATAGGCCTCACATTGTTTATGAATTATAGTGCAAGACTCTCAAAGAAAAATCTCCTTGAACTTCATGTGAATTCGGCAGAAACTTGTGATTCATTCATTCTATCATTTTTTCACTGCCTGATGAAAAATCTCAGAAATTTTTTTTATTCATGCAGTCTCCATTGAAAGAAAAAATTAATAGAGGCTTTTCTATGGTTTTCCCTTTATTTAAACAGAAGAGAGGAATGTTGTGGGATGATAATTATATGCACAAGTAGGGCAATTAGATGAATTTCTTACCTTATAAAACAAAGTTTACACATACACTTCTATATAATATGGAGATGATATCTGAGACTATCATTAGTATCTTTATCATCATCCAACTAATTTAGTTTAATATTCATACTTGACTAATTTCATAGGATTCTACACAGTGTTATTTCTAGATTGGTATTATTAGACAAAAGTGGTTCATCCTAAAATAGAAACTAATGGTAAGCTAAGCTATTTTTCATTATCATTTTGGATTAAATTTAGTTGATGCTTGATATTTACCGAAGCTTAAGAATTTGAAGGCTCAATTCAGGAACTTCTAGAAATGTTGTAATTGCCATAGATCTTCTCAGGATAACAATTATGCAATTATGCAAGATATGCAATTACCAATTCTGAATGATTAGCAGGATAAAAAGAAGTGCCCTGAAATAGTAATCCATATAAACTTTTAAAATTTATTTAGTTTCTTTTACAATAGTGGTACAGAAGAATCATTAGAACCCTGAGTTTGGGAAGATTACATGTACAGGGAATAGATAAATGTTATGCTTAATTGTTTTTTTGTCTTTCGTAGCAGGAAATTCAGTTCTATCTGTTATGAGGAATATAATATTTCTGACAGGGTTTTAAAACCATTTTTGTTCTTTTCAAAAACCAATATAAAATGTTAAAATAATTACTTTGATAATTTTATAATTTTTATCTTTTTTTATTTATTAACTTTTAAAAACAAAGGAACAGTTGAAATGTCCAAAGAATAAATATTGCCGAATTAGAGACAGGAGAATAGATAATGAACAATATTGAAATTTTATATCTATATACAATATTTAAAATCTTTGCTGATTTAATAATCAGCAATGAGTTCCTGATAATTTCCCTTTGAAGGAAACATCATAAGCTCAGCTGAAAATTTAGTGCAGAAAAAAAATGGAAGTAGAGAAAGAACTGGAAGAATTGAAAACCATTCCTCTGGGATTTTTTTTTTTTTTTTTTTTTTGGTACCTAATATCTCTCAAAATGCATTAAAATACTGTTTGAATTTGCATGCAACTTTTGAACTTTGAGGAAAAAATATTTATAACTGTTGGCTTTGTGTGAAAATACATATAAAAATAAACATTTTGGAGAGATTTATTTTTTAAAAATCAGATTATTGCAGAAACAGACAGAATGTATTAATGAACTATCATGGTGAGGGGATGCTAACAGAATTAGTCAAGAGATCCTTCAAAAAGGATTTTATTATAAAAACATACCTTAAAATAAAGATTTTGTTATAATTCCTTATCCCTTCCTTTCAATACAACATGGACATGACCCAGAAATAGGCTATCTAACTATAAGAGCTGCTAGAGAACAAAAATGGAACCAGATATGAAAGAATGAGGCAATTTTACAGACTCAAGTATTGTAAAAAAACAAAATACTACCTCTTCTCAGCTGAAAAAAAAATCTAATCTTTATCCATAGCAGAAATTCAAAATAGTTATATTAAATGAATGTTTGCATTTGTAAATGTTCAGATGATCTTCTGTCTGAATTAAAGTACCTAGTTTACATATAATGTTAAGCCATAATATGGTTTGGGATTTGGGGGCTCAGTGTAATTTAGCATTATTTGGAACCAGGGACTCTAGGAAGTAAAACGTGATTTAAAAATTCTGGCTTAGGTGTTGTCTGAATTCACCCAGTATGAAATGCCAAACTGCCCACTGTGTCATTCTGTTGCAACATAGACACAGCTGCATTCTAATTGGTATCCAGCTCTAGTTTAACCTGGAGTTCTTCTATTTCAGGGGTGTCAAATTCACGTCATCACGGTAGTGTCACATGACGTATCAGGACTTTTTTCCCCTTTGCTAAACCAGGCATGGGTGTGGCCAGCACATGACACATCCAGCCCTGTTCGATTAGCTCAAATATATTGCCCTATAAGAAAGGGCAAAATAGTTTAGGAGTAGCCTTGCCTTGTAGTAAAATATATATTACCAGTACATTAGCTTTATGCAACTTTGACACTTCTCTTTGTAAATGTGAAACTGTGGGCATTGTCCAGGAATTTATATTATTCTGGGCTTTCAGATTCTGTCTGAATATTTCATTATACAAGGGAGAAGGCTGGATGTTTACTCTTTTATCTTCTATAATCATCCAACTGCCCTGACTTCTCTCTCTCTCTAATCTCTTCTGGCCCCTCCATTCCAATCCATTAGTCCAAGTTTTTCTTCTGTATCCCAATCAGTAGCAAAACTCATGCCTATTAAATCTAGCCATGTCTTTCTGTCCATGTCAGACTTCCAGAAGAGCAAGGCCGAGACCAAGCCAATACCGCCTCCAAGTTCCCCATCAAAGAAGCAGTCATTATTATCACAGTGAAGCAGGGGTGGGTTCCACTTACCTTTACTACCGGTTAGCAGTGGGATCGCGCATGCACAGATCACCCATGATGACATCGTAGTGGGTGGGTGGAGCCTCCCACTAGTTTAATACCGGTTCTATAGAACCGGACCGAACCAGGAGCAACCCACCACTGCAGGGAAGGAAGGGACCTCTCTGCTCTGCCCTATTCATTCTTTTGCATTGGCCTGCAAATTTAACAGCACAAGATGGCAATGGAGCTTCCCCACAGCCTTGCTTACTGATTTTCTCTGAATTTAATAATGTCAAAATAGGACAGAATACATTAAAATTTTCCAGGAGAAAGAAACACAACCTCATTTTCATAACAGCGTCTAGAGCAGCATTCTCCAGCCTAATATAGTCCAGATGTGTAAGATTACAAATCCATTGTTCTGTCTGAGATGAAAGAAATTTTTGGCTAATACATCTCCAAGTTGCAAAGACTGGTGGTGGGAAGATGGGACGGAGGGTGGGTTTGCTCTTAGATTATTTTTCTTTTCATTGCATAATTTGTTGCTTGACTCTTCACCAAAGCAGGATTTTAAAAGAGTCTCTACTAACCTTTTCAAACATTTTTTTAATAATAGCAAAAGGTATTACATGAGGAAAAATATTTATCTTTTTTCTAAATATTTATCTGCAGTATGTACATAATGTGTAAATAATCTCTGTATGAGTTATGCATTATAAGAACACATTTTTTAAATATTTGACAATAGTCCAATATCTCAAAGCTAGCATTAGAAAGTTTCTAAGAAAATCTTTTTCTTAAAACATTTTTAATATTTTAAATTTGCCTTTGATTTTTTTTCTGCTCAGACTTTAGAATCTAATATTAAATTATACCCTCTACATGGATGAATAAATGAATGAATATTGTATGAAAAAAATAAAAACACTGCCATGACCATATAGAATAGTTGCAAGCCTAAACCTTAACCCAAGCTTGTTTAAAGAAGCAAAAGATGCTGCAGTGGAAATGCACATGTTATTATGCTGCATAATCATTAACATGCTGATGGGTGTCCAGGAAAACAACATTAACTTTAAAGTACTGTCTCGGCAAGCCAAATAGCTGTAAATATGAAGTCCTTGATGCTCTCTGATTGTTTGCTTGAGGATGTTTCATTACCCAACTAGTTAACTATCTAGTAGCACTACATATTTGCAGGAGGAGGCTTTTGCGGGTTTTTTAGTTATTGTCCGTCATTTGGAGTTGGGAGACAATATAAAACTTAAAGCAAATAAGAACTATGGCAGGGGTGTCAAACAGGCAGCCTGTGATTCACACACAGGCCACACCCACCCCAGCTCCGCAAAAGGAAAAATGTCCCAATATGTCACGTGACGGC